ATAAACGGGATTTCTGCTGGTTGTTGGTTGTAATAGAAATAAAGAAGTTGTTTCGTTATCCTGGAGCCGAGTCTTCTCTAACCCACAATACAACAAAATCTGTCCAATCGCGGATTTCTTGGCTTCTGCTCCCTGGAAAGGAGAACGTGGCGGCGATCTCGGGAGGGTGGGTCACCCGAAAGAGGCGCCCTTCGAAGCGTTGAATTCCTCCTGCGCGGCGAAACGCCCACAGCCCGCGCCGACTCTGAGGAAAAGCGGGCGATCTGGCCGCCTTCAAAGCCGAAGAGGCCCCACCACACCACAGAAATCAGGCCGGCTGCAGGGAGGGGCGGGGAGCGAAGAACGCGGCACCTTTCGCAACGCATCGGGGACGCGGTGGGGGGAGGAGGAGAAGAAATCAACCCGCGATAGATTCCATTGGATCCAGGCCGCGGTTCTTCCGCCCCCAGCAGTCCAGTCGGCTCCCGGAGCGAAGACAAGGCAGTAGAAGCTGCTCGTGAGAGCCCAGTTCTTCCTGGCGGCGGCGTTGCTCCTTAGCGGTGCCTTCGGGCTGGATCGCCCAGGCACAAGTCTTAAAGGGATCGGGAGATCTTCCAAGAGTGGCGCCGGGAGGGAGACACCCGCCCCCCCCCCGCTGCTTCCAATTCGCCTCACGAAGTCGGAAAAGCCCCTCCCTAGCCGCCCCCCCAGCCCGAACGAGGGGAAGTCTTGCGGCGCTGCCGGCAGGGGCAGGTGGAAAGGGCGCGCGGGGAAAAGAGACCCCGTCCGTGGAATCGTTTCCCTCAGGAAAGCGACTTCTGGGGAAGAGAAGCGGGCCTCTAGCTGTACAGCGCCCCCCCCTTCTCTCACTCTCCCCCGCTGCCTCGGTTGTTGGGCGAGAAGGAGGCCTCACGCCACTCCTCTTCACCGGCGAAGCCCGAGGCTGAAGTGTCCGCAAAGACGCCCCAAAGCTCCCCGAACTGAGCCCTCGCTGCCAGGCCCGGCCCGGCCCGGCCCCCGCTCGTTTGTCTCTGCGCAATTTCTAACGCGTACAATTCCCTCGGCCTGCCGGAGTTGAGTAGGGAAGCCAAGTGGCGGGGCGGCCCCTCGCGCGCTCTTCCCGGTCCTTGTTCCCACAGAAATGAGGCTGTGGCTGAGCGCCGCTCCGCCCGTCCGGAGCAGCGGAGGGCTGCCCTCGGCCTGCGAGCGGGGCTGAGGCGAAGGGGCAACCGCCTATTTTTCCCGCCCGCGCCACTCGGGGGGGGGGGGGGGGGGGGGAACCCCGGGGGGGGGCCGGGTTGGCCTTCCCTTGGCCCCCCCCCCCCTTTCCCCCCCCCCCCCCCCCCCCCGCCCGCTGACCTGCGGTTGAACCTGCCATTAACAGCGCTTCGCCGGTTCGAGAATCTGCTGCGCCTCTGAGGCGGATTTCTTCCTCGCAGGGCCCCGGATGTAAAAGATAAAACTCCTGTTTGGCGAGGTGAACCGAAGGCCAAGGATGGCTTTTTCTGAGGGGGGGGGGGAAGAGACCGAAGGCCGCTCCTTGCCCTCCCGCCTCCGCTGCTCACCGCGCCGAGAGGCTTATAGGCAGGGCGGCGGTGAGGGGGTCGCCCACCCGCGGGATTGGCGGGTCTGCTGTACTGGGGATTTGACAGCCCCCCCCCCCCAAATCCGATGCTGAGCCCAGCAAAAGGCGGACATTGGCCAAGAGGAATAAATGGGGGGTGTGAGGGGAGAGAGCGAGCGAGCCGACCCAAAACTCAGTCCTGGTGTCTTCCAGATTTTAGCCATGTAATTTACTTCGTTTCTGCCCCGAATCGGTTATCAATTCCTGATGACTTGGATAAGCCTCTGCATTTCATCCCCTGGCAGGAGTGGTTTCGTGTAGCCTCTTTCCTAGGGCCGATGGGTCCAAGGTCACCAGCTGGCTTTCGCCTCGGGCAGAAACCAAACCTGCTTTAACCACTACACCACCAGCCTTGCTCTCTAGTTTAGGTGGTTTAAAAAAAAAGGTTAGGTCGTATTTCTCCGGAGGGTGTGTCACAAGATCTTGTCCATCGGGTGGAAGATCTGCCGAGAGATCCGGATCTGATGGCTTTCCCATTTCTCCCTTTTTCCAAGGCTCTCCTTTGCGAGAATGGGGATGAGGATGAGTGCAACTATCAGAAAACTTGGCCGACTCGATCTCAATATGTTACAACTATTTGGCTCGAAACCAGATGAAAGCGGAAGCCCCAGTCTCCAGGTGGAGCGGATCCCTACAGAGAGATCTCCCTCCCAACAGAGCCATGAGGGGAAGGGGATTAACAACACCAATCTAATTGAACAGCATGAAGTTTATTATTGATTACTTAATTATTTACATAGCCGCCTCAGAGGGCTCCATAGATCGGTAAAGAACAAACCTCCAGAGACAGACAAGCTCAAATTAGTTTCCGGAGAAAACCACGAAGCCTTCCCATAATTAAAGGTAGTTGTGGACAATGCTAGAGAAGTCAAGCATTGATCAACTGCAGATCATTTAAGTTACATGATCAGCCTCGAGTCTGCAGGACTTCCATCAGTTGAGGTGATGTTAGGAAAACAGCGAGACCAAATGGACCTTGTGGCACCAAAACGAAATTAGATTAACTCGTGAATGCCACACGTCTTTAGATAACAGCAGGGCGGGAGTTCAACAACTCCTCGTTTCATTGCCACGCCCGAAAAAGTGTTGAGATAAATTGCATTTCTGCATATGCAAAAAAAGGGAGGGAGAGGGTGAAAAACCCGAGGGCAGGCGGTGAAGGTGACTTTAAGTCCAAATAGTTTGACTCAAGGAAATGGCCAACGATTTAGATGCCAGCAATGCTCAGGATTTTCGCAGGTAATTATTATTCACGGAGGAATTTCGCAACCTCTTGGATGTGAGGGAAATACTGAAGGAGGGATAAAACTTTTTAGGAATGTGGGCCAGCCAGGAATGGACTCTGATCGAGGAGATCCGGACGGATCCTACAGCCATGAAACTTACCTGGGTGACCTTGGGGTAGTCCCGCTGGTTTTGAGAAACATTCGGAAAAACTAGGACGGAATGGGGTTAAGAAACCGGACTGATCAAGTCTGCAATTCGCCGATATTTTGTCTAGAAATGCCCGGATCAGGTTCCTTCTTCCTTTCTTACATAATACAAATCTTCCTTTTTTTTGCTGAGCTGCACCACAGGGGCTGATGATAAAACAAACGGAAGCAATCCACTTTCCAGGAATCGGTTATTTTTAAGTATATAATTTGGAACTCCACGGTCTTACGTTACTATGCGAGAAAAGGCATTTATTAGTAGGCGGGCGGGTTCCGTTGCTCAGCACGCTGAACCAACTCGGTTAAAACCCTTACAGCGTTATTTCCAGTACACGCTAAGCCCAGTTCAATCAAATCAGATCTTTATCGTGGTCCTTAAACCAGCATAAATCTGTTTATTGGTTGATTGATCGCGGCTTACCTCTTTGGCGAATAAACCTGGTTCGTTTATAGCGCACTGTATTTTGGACACCTAGAAGAAAATTAATTTGCGTGGAAAGAGTAAACTCGTTCCAGCCTTTCAATACCCGGGTGATATTAGGAAAAAAAAAGAGATTAGGGGAAAAAATCTATTGGGGCTTTTCAGTTGCTGAAGGAGGTCTGTGCCTAACCACCCCCCAGAAAAGCTGGGTCTCCAGGAAGGAATCGAAGCAAATTTCATAGGCCTTGAAACGAGACGAAAGAAAATCTAAAACCAGCACTGCAGCTCAAATTAGCTGGGGATTGTGGGGGCTGTGGTACCGGTATCTGAAGGGCCGAAAGCTTAACGTTATAAATCTTGAATTCAGCAGACTTAAAACATAAAACCTGGGTGCCTTCCTTATGGGCTGCTCAGAAGCGGACAATTGTCGGAAAGGTCCTGAAGATCCTCCTTGCAACCCAGGAATTGACCTCTGAGTAAACAAGTAGTAGGAAGGGGTTACCGCGCTGCCCTTGAAGGAAAGGCCAAAATCATTTGCCATTCATGCATGGCCGCCGTGCAAGGATTTCTTCCAATTAAATATGCTCAGGATTTTGCCGAGCAACCAGATTCTTCCCCCGCGTTATTATACTGTATTTCGGGACTCCGCTTTTTGAGGCTGTGTAACCCGCCTTAACCCGGTTCACGCGTCTCCCTTAAGCCCTAAATCTACCGCAACTGGCTGCGTTTCACACCCACGCTGAGCGCAGCCAAAAAGCCGCGCCAGAAAACGTGGGAACCCAACCAGGGAATATTCCGAATCGACGCCGCTTTGCTTTTTACCCTGTTCTACCCGGACTGCCTGCCGCTCGCTTAGACGCCGTTCCTTGGGCTTGGTTTCTCCTTTCAAAAGACCCCATCGGACGTCAGAGAGAGGGCGGACTCCGTCGAGTCGAAATACTGAGGATGGCGCCGGTGGGGAGGAGGAGGGCGGGGAGCCGAACTGGCGGAGCTCCTGCCAGCGAAACGGGCGAACGAACCGCCGCACCTGCTTCCCCCGCAGGAGGCCCGATCTCTCCAGGTGTGAAGAAGAGCAGCTTCCTTGGGATCGGAGCTGCAAAGCTCCCCTTTCATTCTTCGGCAGGAGAATTCCCCACCCCACCCCATCCCAGAGCCAGGAGCTGATCGTCCGGAGCTGTTGCCCGGCTCGAGGGACGGGAGACCTCGCCGGCTTCGGGGGAAGAGGGGCGGGGACGGGAAGGGGCAACGCCCCCCCCCTGCCGCCGCCGCCGCCGTCTGGAAAGGCTTGAAGCCCAGGGCAGGGCGGGGTCGAGGGAACGACGGGGCGGAGCTTGCCTGGCCACCCGCAGCAATTAAAGCTGAACTTTGGATGAACTAATTGATCGTCCGGACCAAGGTAAAGTGGGCAGCGACCTGGGGGCGAGGATGGGTATAAAAGGGGTCCCCGTAGCGGGGCTCAGCCCTTGCGCTCCGTCGCTCGCCGAGAAGGGAGGCAACATTGTGCCCGGCTCCAGCAGTGGAAGCCAGGCGGCCCGAACCAAGCATGGGCTTCTCCTTTCTGCTGGCCAGCGCCCTGGGCGCCCTGGTCCTGGTGCCGCTCTTGCTCTGCCTGGCCTCCCTGAAGCTCTGGCACTTCTATTGCCTGCGGGGCCGCGATCCCGCCTGCCCTCTGCCGCTGCCGCCGGGCACTATGGGGCTGCCCTTCCTGGGGGAAACTCTCCAGCTGGTGCTGCAGGTAAGGCGAGGAGGGCGGCGCCCTCCACGCTTGGGGGAGCCCGGGGGCGGAGGGACCCGATCCAAGCGCCCGGCCTCCGCTCCATTCCACCGCGGGCTCCTTTTTTCCCTTCCTTCCCAGCGTCGGAAATTCCTGTCGACGAAGCGTCGCCAATACGGCCACATCTACAAGACGCACCTCTTCGGGAGGCCGACGGTGCGGGTGATGGGGGTGGAGAACGTGCGGCACATCCTCTTGGGGGAGCACCGGCTGGTGGCGGTGCACTGGCCGGCTTCGGTGCGCATCATCCTGGGCTCCGGCTGCCTCTCCAACCTGCACGACGGTCAGCACAAGCATCGCAAGAAGGTCAGCGGGTTGGGGAAAGGGGCTCCTTCCCTTCCGTGGCTAAAGCAGCCCCTTGATCCGGCCGGGGGTTTTCGGCCGTGGGAAAAGAAGGTCGGCCTCTTCCTACCTTAAAGGCAGAGGAAGGTTTGTCGCAGGATCTGGATTCCATAGAGTAGAATAGAGTAGAGTAGAATTGAATAGAGTTGAGTAGAGTAGAATTGAATTGAATAGAGAAGAGAAGAGTAGAATTGAATAGAGTAGAGAAAAGAGTAATTGAGTAGAGCAGGATAGAGTGGAGTGGAGTGGAGTAGAATTGAGTAGAGTAGAGTAGAATTGAGTAGAGTAGAGAAAAGAGTAATTGAGTAGAGCAGGATAGAGTGGAATGGAGTAGAATTGAATAGATTAGAGTAGAATTGAGTAGAGTAGAATTGAATAGAATAGAGAAAAGAGTAATTGAGTAGAGCAGGATAGAGTGGAATGGAGTAGAGTAGAATTGAATAGAGTAGAATAGAATGTAGAATTCTTTATTGGCCAAATGTGATTGGACACACAAGGAATTTGTCTCCAGTGCATATGCTCTCAGTGTACATAAAAGAAATTATCAGAGGAGGTGTATTTTTGTGTGTGTATGCATGACTGCGTGCATGTATGTGTGCCTATATGCATGCATGCACATTATGTATGTGGCGGGGCAACCGAAGGACCGGAGTCTTAACTGAAAACCTTTACCCTGAAGTCGGATGAAGTTTTAAGGAGAGCGGCTAAGCCTCAGTTCTTATGTGTGCCATGCATCTTTTAGCTTGTATCTTCTTTAGCCAAAAGAAGGGGGGAAGCCCTAGTATTCAGCTGCGGAGGGACCTACTTGGGAGCAAATGGGGCCTTGTAAAAGGGAGAAGGGAAGAAGGGAAAGCCACGGAGGAGGATCTTAAAACACATCTGGGGAAGGTCCTTCCCCATAAAACAGGCTCCCATAAAACGAATGGCGCCTTTGAGAGCTCTTTTTCCAGAAGCAACGGGGGCAATCTAGAGACCATAAAGAGGGGTTGGCGCCCCGACCCTCCACACCTTAAGACTTACGATGAAACCCCTTCCTCCTCTTTTCCAAACTATTTCCTTTGCTTTCAAGTGGTTGGACGGTATGCCCCCCAAAAAGGGGGCGTACAGTCCAAGGATATTAAAAATTGCAATCGCTTTCTGGAGATTAGTTGTAGAAGATTTGAAAAGAGGGAGGTTTTGCCCCAATTTGTATTTTAACACAATCGTATCTTGGCCACACTGGCCCTTCTCTGCCCTGCTAGAGGAAAATTGCTGAAGTCTATTATTTATTTATTTAGTCAATTGCTTACAAGATAATAGGTATAAGTAAAAACATAGTTATGAATACATGGATACAGATAAGAAAAATAAAAAAATAAAAGAAACAATAGGACAGGGACGGTAGGCATGTTGGTGCATTTATGGACACCCCCTACAAGTTCTCCTAGGTGTGTCAATTTTAAAATAATAGTTTCTTGGCTCTTGTTCCTTTTTAGTCCACTTCTAGCTATGCAATTTCATGTTTTTTGAGACTTTGTCTGATGGCAGATAAATTCTCCCAGGCTGGTTCTGAGAACTTTTTAAACTAATCAACAATTGAGTTGCATGAAGATTACACAGATGCATCATGCAGAAGATATTGTCATGACGGATCTTGCTGGCGGGCAAAACCATTTTGGGGGCAGGCCAGAAAGGAACAAAAGCCTTTCCCCCCTTTGCAACCAGCATCACATTAGAGTTTCAAGATATTTTGTTGTCTGCTATCTTAAGGGTGAGGTCAGCTGATCTTTGTGGGTATGTTCCGAAGCGTTGGCAGTGATGACAAAGGAGAAGTGGAGTAAGGACTGGCAGTGGGGGATGGTTTTTATGATGGTTTGATCATGTCTTGGGGATGAATGCATAAATTGTCCTTTTTTTACACACACATCTCCTGGCAACTTGGTTTCCATAATGACCTTGTTACATTCCCTTCAACTCATCCCCAACTCGTATCTAAAGTCACTTCTTGATGTTTGAATTTTAAAGTAGCATTCTCCATCTTAAATCTTAAATGCAGTTTTTGTGATAGATTCTATCTGGCATGCTTTGCTGTTCTGTTTGGTTGAGGGTACTCTGTCAGAGCTTGGGTCCTATCAATTCTTATTGTCTCTTTTAGGCTAGTATGGGTCAGCTTTTCCCCTCAGCCTACTGGACACTGTTCTCCGTGTCCATTTTGGCTTAAAAGTGCCCATCACTCAAAACAACCAACTTAAATGAACCTCGTGCTACCATAGAGAGAGTAATTGGTAGATTCTTTTCCCCATTGGTAGAGGAAACAAAGAAATCCACCAATCCCTCTTCTTAATTTGATCTGCATTGGGTATATAAGGAGGTAAGGATAAGTACCATTTGCGAGCCTAACATCTCTGGCAGAACAGAGATTGGGAATTTTGTATGTGTGTATGTAGGAGAAACAATTCAATTTATGTTGGATTTTTTTTTTATCCTGGCTCAAGGAGTAGAAGATACAGCATTTCAGCTCGGTTTTGAGGAAGAGTACTCAGCCATGGAAAAGATCATAGAAACAAAGATAGACAAATATAGGATCTATTCTATCTCCCACCTCCCAGAACCTAAGATCACCAAAGCAGTTCTGAGATAAGCAAATATGTTCAGAATTTGGATTCTGAGCTCAGAGATGATTGAACTGAAGTGAGTTCCCTACGAAAAGCCAGAGTCATATTTTGGCTGCTCTTAAGCTATTGGGATCATTTAGAAAAGTCAAATTATTTAACTCAAAACAAATCATACCTCTTTGGGACATAAATGATTCCCTTAAAAAGGACAACACCTCATTGCTTTTAGTTCCCGAAGTCTTCCTTAGACCCTAGTTTTATCCTCGGTGCATTAATTTTTGGAAAAAGCCTACTTGGATTCAGCTGGATTTTCATTGCAGTGTATGAACTCAGGGGCTGTAATCTCATTGTTCAAGCCATTTGGATTCTGAAGGGGCGTTCAGATAGTTTTTCTCTAATCATACTGCAAGTTTTATTGCCTCCCCATGAAACAGTTCATTGTGCTCAGAATAATCTCTGGATCACTCTGGATTAAAATGGTCCAGCTTTAGAAAATGAAAAAGAATCAAACACTATTCATCCAATGGAGGCTTTGGGCAGGTTTAATAATTCAGCCACAGCCTCCAAACTTTCACCAAACTGAGGTGATTAATAATAATATGATCTCCTATTCCATTTTCAGGTGATCATGAAAGCTTTCTCCCGTGAAGCCTTGGAACATTACACCCCAGTCATCCAGGAGGAGGTGTGTGCTTGCTTGAAGCAATGGCTCTTGGCTAGTTCTGCTAGTGGCACTTGCCTATTGGTATACCCGGAAGTTAAGCGCCTCATGTTCCGGATTGCAATGCGCATTCTACTGGGATTCCGGCCCAAGGAGGCAGGCTGCAAGAGCGAGCAGCAGCTGGTGGACACCTTTGAAGAGATGATCCGCAACCTTTTCTCCCTGCCAATTTATGCACCTTTCAGTGGCTTATATAAGGTAAAGCTGTGAAGTCTGGCTTTATTTACGAACTTAGGTGATGGGATAGAAATACTGTAGGGCAGGATGTCTATGGGGATTCTCAGAGCTGAAGAAGCTTCTTGGATGAGAAGCAAAACGTCATCAAAGGAAAAAAACAACAACAGAAAGTCCAGTTGCTTCTTGAAAAAGCACCTTTGGGCCTAACCTTGGCCACTTGAAGACTCGTGGACTTCAACTCCCACAATTCCCCACCACCTAAGTCCACAAGTCTTAAAAGTTACCAAAGTTGGACATCCCTGCTTTAGGGGAAAAGCTGTGTTTCTCAGATCATGAGCACAGTCCTATATTAAAAGACTCAAAACCTCTGTTCCCAGGGTTTGAAAGCACGGAATGTCATCCATGCCAAAATTGAGGAGATCATTCGAGTGAAATTGGCCGAGAAGGAGCCCTCCAATGGTCATAAAGATGTGTTGCAGCTGTTGATAGAGCACGCCCAAAGCAGAGGGGAGCAGCTCAACATGCAGGTGAGTCTTTCAGCACCTGCCTGGAAATCTCCAAAGTCCAATTCTTTGAAGGGAATGACTTTTGACTGTTCTGCCTAGTTTTTAACTTTTGGCCAAACGGGAAAAGCAGCTGGCAGGCTGGCAGGGAGCTGGTAGAAAATAATGTTCTTTGTGAGTGTTTCTGACATAGGGTCTTCCTCCCAATTTTGTATGCAAGTCTTCAGGCTATCTGCTAATTTTAAATTAGGTCGAAGAAGAATATGCCTGCACAACAGAGCCAAAAGTAATGGAGAATAGCTTCCTCCAGATAGATACTCCAGAAATTCAGTAGTATGCTTGAGATCCAGAAAAGCTATGTTTTATTGTGGGAGGGAAAATTAATTAGAAGGATACTGAGAAGAGCCTCGATGGCTCAGTGGTTACAGTGCAGAACTGCAAGCTACTTCTGCTGCAGCCAGCTGCCTGCAATTTGGCAGATCGAATCTCACCAGGCTCAAGGTTGACTCAGCCTTCCATCCTTCCGAGGTGGGTAAAATGAGGACCCAGATTGTTGGGGTCAAGACACTGACTCTGTAAACTGCTTAGAGCACTGTAAAGTGGTATGTAAGTCTAAGTGCTATTGCTATAAACTATTTCTTTTTTAGAGCATTTTCCTCTCTACTCCTGTACTTGTGAAAGTCATACCTGCTGATCTGCTGCCCTAGGTGGCATCTGGCAGGGCTAGTTTCCCATCAACTGAGTGGATATATATATTTCCAGAAGTCTAATCCTGAAGCAGATATAGATGTTCACTTCAGTGAAACATCCTCACTAAAGCCCAGAAGAGGGAGTTACTTGTCTTCGGTCTTCTGATGGATGTTTTTCTTTTCATTAAGTGCAATGCTAGAAACCTCTTTGCTATATGCCAAGGATTTCAGCATGCAGAGGTCCTAGATTTTTCTTCAACTTTGTGCTGATGTTCATTAGGTGAACGGGTGCACGTTTTTCTCAGAAATAAGCCTTGCATAACTGGCATTCTTTCTAATTTAGCATTTATAGGATAAAGTGGTTCCCAATCTGAAAAGGGCTATAATCCAAGAAACCAAACCTTTATTACGTTCAATTGCTTGAATTTTATTCAGTGGCTGGATGAGAGTAGGAAGAAGGCACCTGCATCAGCCAGGAAAGGCTTTGGGAGAAAGGGGGAAGCCATAGGAAGGAAGTTGATGTGGAACTTCCTGGATGGAAAGGAGGAATGGGTGATACAATTCTAAAGAAAAGGACCATCAGCCTTATGACTCTTCCAACCAAACAACACTTTTGAATGCAGACTTGGGGATATGGCTCTCAGTATCTGCATGCAAAAGAACTTGACTTGAAAATATCTTGTCATGCAAAATACAACCTGGTCACTTTCTTTGTTTCCTTCCTCTAAAGGAGCTAAAGGAATCAGCAACCGAACTTCTCTTTGGCGGGCATGAGACCACAGCTAGTGCAGCCACGTCCTTGCTTATCTACCTCAGCCTTCACCCTAAAGTGCTACAAAAAGTGAGAAAGGAATTGCAAGAGAAGGTGAGCCTTGCTTTCAAGGTTTAGGCAAGAAGCTTTGACAGGGCATGAAGCAGAATGACCTGGCCCAAAAAGCACAGATCCAGGTAGTGGTTAGCTGTAGCCTTTTTAATTGATTTTAATCATGGGTTGAATCGGTCCAGATATTGTTATTTATCCAAGATGGCTACTTTTTATTGGCCGAGGGTCACAGTTAAATCTTTAGGGGGTTGCAAATTGATTATGATCATATGGCATGCAGAGTTGAGATTACTTTGTGGTTTTAAAAATATAACCTGCCCATATTTAGGTCTTACAATTACAGTTCTCATGTGTTTCCAGCTTCAAAAATGGTAAGAAAATACAGTCTGTTTTTATTAAAATAATCAGTGAGGGCCCCGTAGTTGACAGAAAGTCCTCAGTGTTGCATGGACTGTAACTCTGTGTGTATACCTACACACATATTCAAGTATTTTTGATTAAATCTTCTATTGGATGGCTTAATCCAATGATGTAACTAAACAATGCAGTAACCCATGCAATTTATATGGAGTATTTTGCTCTGTTTTCAAATTAGGCAAAATAGTATTTAGCCTCTTGGATGTACAGTATTCCAGGAAACCCAACCACATGAGCAAAAATCTTTTGGACTCCTGGGGAAAAAAATGCAGTGTAGCAGGAAGGCTGAAAAAAACAAAAGAAAGTAAATTAAACTAGATCTATGTACAGAAAATTCTGGTAATGCTTTGCTTTAGTCTACAGGGGTTTCTTTCTCCGTGAATAACCTGTTTGAGAGATGCTGCATATTTTTTTGAATTTCTATTAACCAAATAAGTCTCTGCTTTACATCTCTTCTAATATTTATCATGATATATCCTCTGCTTCTAGGGATTATTGGGCAATTGCAGTCAAGAGAAGCTTTTGGGAATGGAAGTGCTGGAGCAGCTGAAATACACCGGCTGTGTTGTCAAAGAGACTATCCGACTGAGCCCACCAGTTCCAGGAGGGTTCAGAGTGGCCCTCAAAACTTTTGAGCTCAATGTAAGTAGGAGGTCATGAAGTTGGTGACTTCCTAAATGCATCTCCTGTGAAAGGCTGATGATTTTAGAAGATTTTTAATTTTAAAAAATGTATTTTAATACTTCTCAGTCTGAAACGTTTTATGTATGGAAGAGCTTGTTTTGGTTGATCCATGGCCTGAACCAAAAGATGATGTTTGAGATGTTTCAGTTCATGCATGGAATGGAAAGATCCATGAATGGCTTTGCTCTGCGAAGAAGTGGTTGGGTGAGGAGAAGTGGGAATAAGCATTGGGCCATTAATAACAACAGCTTAGGTGAGGAAAGACACTGGGAAAATGTAGGGCTGCAACCTGGTGAAAGGAGAGAAGGAAATGCACAGTCTTGGCTTTCAGATTTGATTTTGCCTCAGCAATCTGAATTGGATTTATGTTTCAGTTGTGCTGAATTATGGCTGATCTGAAATGGCTCAGTCACATTTCCAGCACACAACATTAAACACGTTCATCTCTTTTGTGCACACCTGTAATGCTTAGGCTCATAACTAAGAATGTTATTAACTAAGCTGACTGTATCATTACCTAAGGTCAAGAGGAGGTATTCAATCCATTGAGCAATAAATGCCCCTTGCCACTATAATAAAAATAAATGTTCAGAGATGTCCTTCCTCCTACAGTCCGTTATGCAACGGAGTAGGGCATCTGTTGAAAACTAATTTTCCCATTCTGGTGGCAAGTGTCATTTTTGACAGAGAGATGGTGGTTTGGGTATTATTATGACTTGTGATTCTTGTGGAATTAAATGAAGGGACAATTTAATACCGTAGAGTACACTGTACTAAATATTTCTTGGGGATTTCAAAAATCTACTTCATAAATGTAAAGCAATAGAAATAGTCAGGAAAATCATATTTATTGTGTTGCAATGAACACCCACACACTTTAAATAGGTATTAGAATACTTTTTTTTATTCTTTAAAGTTGCTTCTCCAATGGTGTAATAACTCATGGCGTTCCATAATATGTTTGGTTGTGTTAGAATAAATTTCTGCATTGGCAATCCATTCACTGATGAAGAAGAGAAATAGATGGGTTAATGAGGTGCTAACATTATGTATAATTACACACATACACATAC